TATTGAAGAAATTAATCATATATATTATTTCTCTTTTTATTTACTTTATCAGCATCACATAATCTATTGTCACAGGATGAACATCGATACTGATTATCACCAGTTAACTGTTCACGATAAGTAAACATATTTGCTAGAGATGTATGTAAATTTGGACTATCTTGTACAACTAATGGTAAATCTTGATAATCTTCCTTACAATAAAAGAAGTAAAAATAAAACAAACTTCTATAGATTTTAAATATTATTTACTATTCGTTTAAAAATTTTCTGGCATTGTTTGCATTGCGTATAATTAATAGTGGAACCTTCATAACAAGAACGTATTAAATTTGATTGTTTTGTACCTTGTAAAGATTTTTGAATCGCATCAAATAATAAACGATTAAGTTCATGAACATCTTGATGATCAATTGTCTATTTTTGGGATAAAATAAAAATGTAATTTTATGAATAAATGACAAAAAAACAAACTTCATTGGATTGCCAACCGAAACTATCAGTTAATCGAATAGATGAACATGCTTGTTGATTAAGTAGAAGCATTTCAGCAAAAAGCTTTTGTAATTCAACAATAATTTTACGAACCTATTATAACGACTGAATATAAATAGGAGAAAAAGAAAATAATATATTACTTTTAAAGTACTTCCACTTGATGAAGTTTGACTTGAATCATTAGGATTTGATAGAAGATTAAGATCTTTAGCAGTTAAACTGAAAAGAGGTTCTAAAGTAAAATATTACAAATGATTTCTATAATTCATATTGAATGACATAAATCTCAAAGAAAAAAAAATATATCTAGGCAACAGTATTTATAAGGATGCATTTCTTTGAGAATAAAATTCGAATATTTCTCCTCTTGGATGCTTACCACGAAAATCTGGTGTGAAAAGTAGTGTCTGAATGAGAGCATTAAGATAACTAAAAATAATTCATTTTTTATTAGAAATACTTTGAAAATTCTTAATTTTACCAAGTTGCTCCTTGATTTTGTAAACCACATAAATCTGTTTCATTTCTTGGTGATATTGGTTTCTCAATTATTGATTTAGAACTAGTATTGCTTGGAAAATAAGAAACTAGATACAAAATAAAAATCTCTCAATATTACATGAATATCATTAAATATTTCACTTACAATCTCCATCTTCACGATCTTCATCGAATAGATCTTGTAACATACTATTATCAATCTGAAAAAACAAAATCACAAAACTAGCAAATCATCCTAATAAATGTATTGCAAAAAGAAAGATCACCGGTGGTATATTCTACTTAATAATGAAAGACAAAAAAAAGGCTTAATGATCGCTAGCTTCTTTATTTGCTTCGAGAAATTTTTCATATTGCTTTTCATTCATTAATGTTGATGGTATATTCTTCTTATTTTTATCATCAATTATTGCTTGAATAAGCCAACCATTTTCATATGAACTTTTATTAATTAAATCAGCTTCATCTTTTAATTTATCATTCACAGTTGATACTTCACCATCAATTGGCATATAACAATCCGAAACAGCTTTAACTGATTCTAATGTTGCAAATGTATCATCACATTTAAATTTTGTACCAATTGCTGGTAATTCACAATAGACAACATCACCAAGAGCACGTTGAGCATAATCACTTATACCAATACGAATTTCATTTTGTTTTTTATTTGTATCAATAATTTGTACCCATTCATGTTTCTTAGTAAAATAACGTTCTTGATAAAGACATTTTGTTAAATGAAGTTGACGTATTGGTTGAAATTGAAGAGTACGTCGAAATAGGAATGCTGATATAGCTGACATTGGAAATAATGTTAATATCTAAGTTAAATCAATAGGTTAGTAGTGGATTTTATTTTAATCGTATACGTGTAAGAAAGATACTCGACATTGATTCGTTATTGATGTTAACCAATGATTTATCAAGATGAGTCATTTCATATAGGGAGAAGAGACTTAACTACTACTACAATTTTCTTGAGTCATTATCTTACATAAATTTCGTAATTTTTTTCGCAAGTACATATGTTTGCTTTCAAGCGAGAAAATAGAGTTCTGAATTGACATATAAATATCTATTGAATAATTATTTTTACATATACATATTTTCTCATATATTATTCTAGTCAAGAAATTTTTTCATGGCGTCATTTAAACAACTGAAATTATTTGTTGATAAAGAACTTGATCAATGTTTACAGAATGTTGTTCGTCCATTTACTGAACATGTTTATTTTCCTGAAACACTCATAGATCCACTTGAAATAGAGAGTATGATTTGAATTAGTATAATAGATATTCTTTTTATTTATTCTTGTAATTTATCAGAACATCATCATGAAGTTCAATTACAGAATTTATCGATTTCTGATACACTTGCTTGTGCTACTTGTCAAACTCAATTTGCTGATCGATCAGAACAGGTTTTTATTTATATACGTAAAAGAAAAGATTGTTTTCATTTGATTAAAAACATTAGACATTACATTTTAAATCTGATTGGCATCGATTTAATCTTAAACGAAAACTTCGCAATCAACTTCCACTTTCATCGGAGAAATTTGAAGATATGGAGAGTAGGTTATTTATAAAAAAAAATCTATTCTTCTTCTCATTTATATATTTATAGAAGATATATCAAGTATATCAGGAAGTGATTCATCAGATGATGATTTAAGTGATAATGAAGGTTCATCTATAGATGGGTCTTATAATGCATGTGCTAGAAATAATCCAAAAATTATTTTAACATTGAATGATGGTCGACATTTATCATTCTATAGATGTCTTTTACATGGAAAAAGGGTAATAAAATTTGTATATATTCATTTATATTATAGTCCTTTATTTAGAATATTCCTCAGGAATCTCAGGAATTAATTTTAACTGCTCAACGACTTCCATTATGTATTCATTGGGGTATTGTTATGGCTGCTGGTGGTCATTTTGCAATAGCATTATTTGAACGAGATAAAATTATTCAACATAAAACATTTCATAAATATATCATTCGTGCTAAACAAGGTTCAGCACAAACAGCACATGATCAAAAATCTGGTGGTAAAGCTAAATCAGCAGGTGCAAATCTTCGTCGACAAAATATGCTTCATTTAAAACAAGTAAACTAAAATAAAAATCTTAAAATTCTTTCTTTAATTATTATTATAACAAAAAAATAGAAAATTCAAGAACTTTTTATTTCATTGAAAAGTGAAATTCAACGATGTTCATTATTATTTGTTCGAGCACCAAGTTTTAATCAACAATTATTATTTGGTGAGAAAAATTCACCATTAACAGCAAGTGATTCAAGGTTTGAATGAAAATATTCTATTAATTCAACTTTCTAATTGATTTTTTTGTAGAATTCGTTCAATTCCATTTGCCACACTTCGACCAACATTTAATGAAATCAAACGTGTGTATGATCAATTATCTAAAATGGAACTTTATCGTAGGATAAACTTATTTTCCTATAGTAAATTATTTTGTTTTTGTAGCTCAAGATTATCAATTTCAAAAAATTGAACAAGAAAAAACATCTACAATAAAAACTAAACAACCAACTGCAACAAGAAAAACAGCTGTTGATTCATCAACGGATTCAGAAGATAAATCAGGTTTGTTAACTTTTCTTATTCGAAATCAAATTCTATTTATTTAATTAAAACTAGATGATGAAACGGAACAACAATCATCATCGAAACAAACAGTAAAAAAACAACCAATCATACCTATTTCAACCACCGATCGAAAAATATTACGTTAGTATAATATATTTGAACGGTAAAATCTATATATTTTGTTTTAATTAGCTGTAGAAGATTTAACAACATTTAATGAATTATTTACTGCATGTCGTCTTAATGATATTCAACGATTCGATGATCTTATTTCTCGATTACGTGCTTTAAAAACTATTAATAAATCTCCATCAATTGCAGATATACTTAATTATCAAACAGCAGGAAGTTTTGATACACTTTTGCATATAACTAGTGAACGTGGACATTTAAAATTAATTCAACGTTTATTAAATGAAGGTGCTAATCCAGCATTATCAAATCAACGAGGAAAATATCCATATAATTTAAGTAAAAATAAAGAAGCAAAAGAAGTTTTTCGTTTATTTCGAAATGATTATCCAGATAAATATGATTATAATCTTGGGCAAGTTGCACCAAGTATAACTATGGATGAATTAGAACGACAACATGCTATTGAACGTGAACGTCGTCGTCAAACGAAAAAAAGACGAACTGATAAACAACGTAGTGATCAAGAAAGACAATTACGTGAACAAGAAGAAGAACAACAACGAATTCATTTTCTTGCATTATCCGAAAAAGAAAAACGTACATTAGCTGTACAAGTTAATTTTGAAACAAACAAACGTGATGAATTACATTTAGGACGTTGTTGGCAATGTGCAAAAAAGATTTCTGATGAACCATTTACATATTTTGATTATAAATTTTGTTCAACAGCTTGTTTAAAAGCACATAGGACTAAATCGAAAACAACTGTTTAATTTGTTTTTTTTTCCGAAATATATTTATACAAAAAAAAATCAAATCTATGACATATCATTTTAATTGCATAATCATTACTAGAAATACATACTGAGATCTATTTTATATTGCTCAGCTGTTTTCGATCTACACTATCACATCTATCAATAAATACGTACTTAGAAAATGCTTCATTTAATTTATAATATAAATGCGCTTTCAGACGTTTCTTTTTGATCATGTCAAAAAATAATAGTAAAATAAAATATGAATACATCATAAATATAAAAAAATGATTAATAATGACATTGTCAGAGAATTACAAAAATAATAGTTCTGTTTTCCATTTATTATAACGAAACAGTAAGTTGTCGAGATTATCTGATACTCCAAATAAACATTTCAATATTAGAATTTACAAAAGGTTTCGAAGCTCTATAATTCATACTCGCTATTTGCGTAAATAATATAAATGAAACCATTTCGTAGTTCTTAAAAAATCCAATTAAATTCACACATAAAGGTATAGAGATATTAAACCAAAATGTGAAAAGGTGAGAGCAAAGCACAAGTGTAAGATTCGTCCATTAGTAAAAAGAATTACTCAACAACTGGTGTTTTTTATTAAAATTATTTTATTAAATCAGACAAAACAAGTTTTTGCATATAGAAAATAAAAATCATGCTGTTCTCTTTTGATTTGATATAAGTGCACTTATGATTGAATAGAACTTTTTATTTTTGTTAAATATATGATTGCTTTCAGAATATCACAGACCATATTTTATATTCAAATAAGTAAATATATGAATTTTATTACGACTATTTTCACGAGTGAATATCAGTTCTAATTATTAAAACATAATATCACTATTCTGTTTATAGATTTAATGTAAACCTTTACTTTTATGAAATCGCGTATGCCACTTTTTGTAGACGATCTATCCATTATATATAATATTGTTGCAGTATCATATTCGAAAAATGTTTCAAATATTTATATTTTAAAACAATTAGAAAGATATGCATTCTCTTTCTAGTTTATTTCTATAAATGCGCGCGAAAGGATAGTAAATGATTGATTAGAATGTTTAACAGAGCATAAGATTCGGAAATAGATTTTTTGAATGTTTTTGATGGTTCATTCTCAAGAATACAGGTATTTCAGGTAAACCTTTTTTTCTATATACTACTTTCCTGTTTCGAGGTATTTGTTATACGATATATAACAACAAATATTGCGGTGAAGTGGAATAGTAATTGAGTATTTTCCTGTTTTAGCTTCTACTATATGTAACATTTGATACTTTTTAACGATGTCGTAATATTAATATACTCGTTATTTCTCTCTATACTAAAGGTATGACAGACTTTGCATCTTATAATGAATTCAAACATGCATTTTTTTACTAACTATAAGAAATTTTTATTTTTCATTACTAGATATTAATAGTTATTTATGGTTTCATTAACATTTTATAAAAAGTAATAAACTATTTGATAAAGGTACGAACGAAGAATCTAGAATGGTTTCATTTATTGATTTTTTATTCTTCGTTGATACAGTTATGGATTAAAATCCAGTCAGAGTTTAAAAACATATTAGTTACTTTTTTTTAATCATGGTATCATATTTCACTTTTCTGCTAGCCGTTTATGTATGTACGTTTAAAAGTATCTAATTTAACTCAATTGACACAGACGTCTACTTCATTAGAAATCAGATCGATCGAGAATAAATAATGTGACATATTATTGATTCAAACCGAATATTTAATAGCTTGTAGAATGCACATTTAATCAAAATATATTGTGCTTCACAAAATATATATATTTAGGATGAATTACAAGTTCACTGATTTTTATATCATTTTCATTATTTATAAAAATCAACACATTGAACTTGCGAAACGTTTTATTCAACTGTCTAATTTTAGATGTGGCAAAGATCTGCAATTTTCAGCATTATCATTTGTATAATTCTTTATTTTACAACATATACACCTTTTATATCTGATAATGTTCAACAAATATATATCACTATATCACACTTCAATACGAAAAGCGAAGACTATAGTTCGTATGATACAATAAATATTGGTTTTAGTCTCTTTGAATTCGAACAAACCAAACTCAATGAAATTCAACTTAAACATGAATATAATCTCACTGCTATTATTCATTATCGAAAACGATTATCTTATGTGAAAAAGATGGTAAAATATTTATTTGATATTCAACTATTCAAAGAAATTATTATTTGGAATAGTAATCCACATATGAATCTTACTCTTCATCAAATAAACACCGATTTAAATACGATAAGATTCATTCGTATTATTAATTCAAAAGAAAATATTACGCATAAAATCAAATATCTTGCTTGTTCACAAGCAAAAACAAGTGCATGTTTCTTTATTGATGATAGATGGTATAGACCCTATTATATAAAAAGTCTTATTGCTAGTTTTTATTCTAATCCAAATACTTTACACTTTATTTCAAATTATTTAAACAAAGAAATTGATGTACTAACAAGTTTTTCTTGGGTTGATTATGGATGTATATTTTTAAGTAAATATGCTGAACAACATCTCAATCTAATAAATAAATATTTAATACATGATCAAAGTAAAAATAAAATGATAAGTTGCATGATTAAATCATACTGTTCTTCTTTTTAGATTTATTACATTTAATTGATGATCTTTTTCTAATTTGGTTCAATGATATTCCGATTCAATTAAATATAGATAGTCAGCATCATTCTTCGAATCTCCTGTACAATGAATCAGTTGTTGCCATTCGTAAACTTCAATACTCTTTACATCGTGATCGATTCATTAGTAATAACACAGTATTTTTTCGTAAACAAAATCATAATTCATCCATCTATGTTAAATCTCCGAGTTTTAACGATAGATTTATATTCTTTAGTAATTTTTTATCAATATATGATGATCATAAAGCACATGAAAATCTATTTCATAATACGTGGAAAGCAGTTGATGGTAATCTTTCAACATGTTGGCAAACAAATCGAACTATTTATTCTGGTGACTTTTTTGCGATTGACTTTTTATATGCTCAAACAAATATAACATTCGTACTTATTGTTTCGCACGATCGTATAATGCAAGCAAATTTGGTGATAAGTATTTCATTTAATGGAATTTGGTGGATTCCATATGAATCGCTTAGAGGTATTTTCATAAAAGCAAATGAAAATTCTAGAAATATCTATCTCTTCAATTCAGGTCAGTTTAATGAAGGTTTTAAATCGTTTCGTTATATTAAATTCAAAGCAATTAACAATCATTCTAATCAATCCTTTCAAGTATGTGACATTCAAATGATTTCAAAAGAAAGGACTCTAACGAATCGTCAATAATTAGATGTGTAAATTGTATTTTCTAATTATAGATTTAAATATTTTTTATAATATCGACAGATTATAGCTAGTGTACTGATATTTTTAAAATAAATATTTGTTTGTAATTTACTTGGAAGTATTGTCAACAATCAAGATTTTATATTTTTTTTCCAAATGTAAGTCGCATCGCGTTAAAAATAATCCACTTTTCAACCAGTGATCATATCATGTACAAAGAAACTTTGGCTAAAATATACTTGTCTTAAATAAAATCATAATACTCATGTTTCAGTTACATTTATATATATATATCTCGTCTATCAAATAAATAATTTCTTTGTAAAGGACAACATGTCCATTGAGTTTTAAGCATATTATAATGTTTATGGTAAAGATCTCGTGTTGTGAATAAAGAACGAACTGGCTGAAGTGTTTATCAAATTAGACGCATATCCGAATTTACTTTTGTTCTGATCATCTTTTGCTGTCCAAGTTGTGAAGAAACAGTTTAAAAGTTACTGCCAAAAATCGTAAGTAAGCTTATAATCGTTAAGATAATTGTAAAGCAACCATGAGACGGCGTTATACTATCTAATAAGAAGAAACAAGTTGAAGTACTGACAAAAGTGTACAATGTATGTATAGATAATATTAATGATTTATTCTGTCTTTCTTTCTTCCACATTACACAGTACAGGAAACAAAAAATTTCAATAGAATCAAGAAAATATCTAGATCTTTCTGTGCGAGAAATATCTTTTTGCACCCACACCCACAGTACATACATTTATATAGCAATAGAAACAAAGAAAGAGATAAAAGATAGAGAACAATAAAGTAAAAAGAAAAGAAGGAGAACAAGGATGAAGACGCTAACAGTCGGGCTACTTCTGCTACACTCTTTATATATCTCGCAATTTATTAGTTCGTTTTTCGTTAATAAATGCTAGAAACAGAATTGAATTTCTTGTTTTCTCTCACTTCGGACTATCAACAATAGACAATACACAATTGTCTAAATTGACAAGAGAAAACAATTTGTAAATGTTTAAAATGTTAATTTTGTATATTTGTTCATTATAGATTGGAATTGCAGATTTATTAAAACCAATCATTTTCATATCGGGATAAATATGGTTAGTTTTCCAATGCAGAATATTCAAAATAATTTGCATATTATCGACACCCACGAATTTGACTAGTTCACAATCATGATTGTATCGGATTGTCACATTTTTGTTTTTAAAATCATGATTGATGAATTGTTCCAGAAAACATTGTGCTTTAGAATTCCATAATTCTAATGGTAGTCCAAAAAATAAATCTATACGACTATCGATTACATGATAATTGCAGCTTTCAAAATCATCTAAAGCTTTATGATCTTTATTCAGATCGTACGTGACATCCAATGTTGTTAAATTATGTTGAGAAGCTAAACTGAGAAAGCAAACTAGTTTCTGAACACCTTTAGGCCATTTAATAACGGATTTTAGAATCGTTGGGAGACCACTCTTATTCGGCCATGATTTAAAACATTCGATTATTGTTCGTATACTGTGCCAATGCAATTGTTTATTTGCTTCTGCGACTAAGGCATCTAAAATTCCTTTTAAGTGATTAAATTGTGCCGTCACGTGAGTATAAACGATTTGTGCAAGTGGGTGATATTGTGCGGGTAAAGGTGGATCTGGAGATAGACGAAGAGTGAGACCAATATGCGTGCCCATTGTATTGACTATATTTGGTACAGACAAGTAACCGATTACACGAAACTCATTTGATTTTGGTAAGCTCTGTTCTATCTTTGAACGACGACGATGGTCTTTAAGAAGTTCCCTAATACCAGGACTATCGAATGTAACAGCAAACGAAAGAGATTCCTGCTTGAACAATGTTTCATTAGCCACAATAAATTCCGCAATAGCCCCACCCAGTGAATGACCAGTATGCCATAGAATGCGTTTTGGATCTATTTGTTGTCGGATTTTATTAGTGAATTGTTGCGCCACTTGAAATTGTTCTGGGATCTTGAGACTAAACAGATCAAAATCAGCAAGAAGTGAAGCATTATTAACATCAAAAGTCGTCCCTCGATGAGCAATGACCATCTCTTTTGTTTCATTATGTTGAACTGCTATACTATAGTAGCCGGTTTTATCTGTGTCATTAAATTCATCGATAAAAGACCAATGAGGAAGTGAAGTCAAACGATCTTTACAATAAGCAATATTACTCAACTCGGCGAATTCCAGATGAGTTGGCCATACATCCGTAAATAGTTGTGATGGTGGCACTACGCGCTTGTAATCTTTTTGTCGAATTATATCAGAATAATCGCTCGATGTTGCCAATACCCATGGATTTTTGTTGTGTGTGGGGTCTGCTTCTAACTTTTTCAGAACTTTCTGTACATACACATATGCTTCTGCATCTTCATCGAGCATAATATTTGCAAATAACGTATAGAATCGTATTTCTATATTACTTGGATTATATGTTAATGACATGTTAAAATCACTGATAGCCTCCTTGTATTTTCCACGATGATACAAGAGTAAACCACGTAAGGTATATAATCTTTCGAGCGCATTGTTATATCGATCTTGATACCCTGTTTCATTTTGACTGTTGAAAGAAATATTCATATATCGCATAACTGGCCTTATGAGTCTGGTGATAACATTAGATTGCTGTGCTTTCAGTTTTTTTTGATTTTCCGATTCATACTTGTCTATCATTCGTGATAAAGTTTCTGTTGCATTATCATCTCGACCACATTTAGACATATCGATTTCAACTTTTTTAATTTCATCAACTTTCATCCAATCTTTTAATATCAGACTATTCTTTGCTATAATCAATCCATGTGGATCAGGTGAATCTTCAAGGTATAAAATCATACATCCTATTATAATTGATATTATTAAAGTGATTATGAACCATTTAATGAATAGAACCAAATTTCTCATATATGACCAACCAAATATTTGGAGATCGAACAAACTGGATCCGATTCTAATCGTTGCCAACAGTGCGAATACAACCAGTACGGATACTACTAAGCAAATTTTATCCAATATAAAATATTTGTCAGTGATCGATCCGTTTATGTCAGATATGGTAGAATACCAAAGGTGGCCACACCACAAATGAATAGTCGGCAATAAAAGGGACAAATAAGGCAATATATTCCAAACAGAGACAACATATGTATATCCCCCCATGCACGCGAGACTCAGTATGCTACCACAACACACTGTACTCATTAGATACGCTGTTGATCCTAATGGCAATAGGTATTTCAACATCTACTGTTATTTTCTATTTATCTCAGCCATTTTTCAACCTAAAAAAATATTTTTGTATTTCGGAGTAGAAGAGCATTTGGCACATTCAATGATGCAAAAACGAGTTAATAATCTCAAAAACTAATTGAGTAATTAGCAATATATTTTTGAGAAATGAATTTGCTCGTATTAGGAGCCATGTTCGTAATAAGAACAACAACCTAAAAAGTGTTCCTAATTCGAACACTCCATATAAAATGCATACAAAATTTATATTTTAATGTATCAAATGATTAAGAACATTTTTTGTATAGCAGTCACATCAAAATTTTTTAGTTCTGATACAAAAGTAATCATTTAGTGAAAATTTTTTATTTTGCATGCATTTTATATGGAGTGTTCGAATTAGGAACACTTTTTAGGTTGTTGTTCTTATTACGAACATGGCTCCTAATACGAGCAAATTCATTTCTCAAAAATATATTGCTAATTACTCAATTAGTTTTTGAGATTATTAACTCGTTTTTGCATCATTGAATGTGCCAAATGCTCTTCTACTCCGAAATACAAAAATATTTTTTTAGGTTGAAAAATGGCTGAGATAAATAGAAAATAACAGTAGATGTTGAAATACCTATTGCCATTAGGAGTATTTCTTGCATGGCTTCAATATCATCTACCCAAGACGCGCATTTCAATAACATTATACAAATAAATACAGGAACCATAATCATGTGCAATGATGCCACATATAGTCCATCAAAAAAACAATTATAACAGATATAGTATATTACCACTGCAAGGAGAAAAACAATAGCCAATACGTTAATGAGTAATAACGAATGGAACAAAGTGGTCAGACAATATGTTAAATTGAGAACGAAAATGATCATGAGGGAAAGACAATGTCCGTATGAATCGAGTAGATTTGGACGATGGTCTAACCGGTGCTGATATATGAGGGCACACAGACTGATGATCATCGAAAGAACATAGAGATGCGTTGTTACATCAGCCATTGATCTTCAAAACAAAAGAATGATAATAATTATTAAAGTCTTAATAGAGAAAATCAAAGAATGCGTTGCAGGACTGTTGATCAAAACAAAAAAGAAATTTAATTTCTCCGACAATCCTACCACTGTACAACGCGGTGTGTTACGATTTACCCGAAATTGTGGTCCCCAAATTAACTTTTACGTTTTACTCCACTTGGGGTAGTAAATCGAAAAATATCAAAACTGGTAATCAATTGGGGATTTTTAATTGCGGATTTTTTTAGCTGGGGATTTTTTAGGCGAAAACTTTGACAGTTCAAAGCTTGACTTAATAATGATAGTTAATCAATACGACACTGAAAGTGCATTTCCTCTAAGTGAGAAAAACTAAAACGTATATTTGAATAGATCTTATCTCGCACTATTTATGCTTTTTCGACTCAGTTACTAAATCATTTTCGTGTGTTCGCATAATTTACCGATTATAGACATTCTGGTGACCAGATGCGGAGCTTCTATATATTTTGTATTTGCTTAGAAGTCTAGTCTTATTTCATATCTCGTTATAGCATATAGCTGCTTAAACGAAATCTTTAAATTTCTTCCTGATTTTTTTTTGAGAAGTTCAAAGTATCAATTGTCGAAGGTTTTTAGTTAGTTTGCTAAGATATTAATTAGTATTTTATGATCAATGTGGTGACCAGAATGAATTCACACGCACCGATATTTGAGTTGAAGTACTTATGATATCAGCACGACATTTTTCTACGCTAATACTTATCATTTTACGAACTTAAAATATATTCTGATTATCAGATGTGTCTTTTACTTCCTACATTAAAATTGTTAATAACTGTTATAGCAAAAACTTCCTATTAGATCACTAAAAAAATGTGCTTTGTTAAGTTTGTGAGAAATATAGAACTGGCATAAGAATTTGTTTAAAAAATTACGGCCAATACAATCTTACTGTTTATGTTTAACAGAATCGATCTAGTATTAAAATAGTGAAGCATTATATACAAACTTATTTCAGCATCGGAATATTGAAAATAACACATTTCTAATGAATTGTGTTACAGTATAACACTATTGTTAACTGATTGTATATAACTCATTGTTTTTGTGGTATTTCTTCGATTACAGTGACTCTTGTATATCGTCAGATAAATTGTACAACTAATAGAGGTCGTTCTCATACTTAGTACCAGGCTTTAGTAGTCCGAAAAAATAACTTTCTCGTTACTAGAATAGTTGTAGAAATCTTCTGATGACCAATTTTCTTTTTTTTTGAAAAGATACATTACAGTGTCTAGTGTTATAAAAAAAATAATTAACTGCAGTTTGTCGAAAAAGTTGAAAACTAATAATCAGCTCTGATCGATTTTTAAAATCTGGTCACCAGTTTTACATAAAAAAGCTTTTCAAGAGACTTAACTCTCAAGCCGATTCGTCTTAAAATATATGGTCAAAAAACTCGGCATCGTTCTAAGTCTGTATCCATTTTGTGTCTAAACGATTTCTAGCTGGTCACCAGAATCTTTGATATTTTTTAAATGTTTACAATTGTATACATGATGAGAAAGTTGACTTAGGACATCATAGTTTAAGTCAGATCCTAACCTACGAGCGTTGTATAGTGGATGATAAAGAACAAGACTGGTTTAAGATCTGTTGAACATATATATATGCTATATATATATAGCAAAACATATCTCCAGTTAAAAAAATTCCTAAATAAAAATCCCAACTGGTTACCAATTTCTATATTTTTTCGTAATTACCCCAAGCGGGGATACAATTTGGGGATGCATCTGGGGACCAGAATTTGGGGTAAATGGTAGTCAACCCTTTTTCTCAAAACTCATTCTTAAATAAATAGTAAACAATTTACGATTATTATCATAATCATTGTATCGAAAAAAGATGTAACATCGTTATGAAAGACAGTTTTCGACGATGATATTGTACAAGCATAACAGGATATGTGACTGTATGTGTGTTGCAACATTGACTAAATTATTCCGTTCGCACAGGTAAAACTAGTCCTGATGCGGTTTTATTCCACCATGCTGATAAATATCATGGTAGTAACAAAAAACAAAGATATTGTTCTGGTAACCTAAAATACGACATGTAGGAGAATCCCCGTCTTTATGATTGATAAAGAGAGAAAGAAAGAAAAAAACAGGGAACGCAAATTTTACCATATTGACTTTCACATATGACTTTCGACAAATGTCGAAAATTGTGTTTTTGTGAAATTTTCGCCTGTAAACGAATAGGATCTTTGGCAATAGTCGATAGTTCTCGTCTAATAGTACATACAATTTGAATCGATGATTCTTGAAATATGTAAGAGAATGTTGCGATACTTCCTAAGGTTTTATAGAGTTAGAACTCATTTTACTAACAATTCATGAAACAGGTTAGGTGCCATAATTGTAGTTGCTTTTCTACGAATTATAAGCTGAACCGATAATTGGGAGAAATCGCGTTTTTTTAGGACTTTGACATTATAAAAACTACACTATCGACTATTGTCAAAGATCTTTTCCGTTTACAGGCGAAAATTTTACAAAAACACAATTTCGGACAATTTTCGAAGGTCAAGTCTGTGAAATTCATGCTACCCAAAAAACATTCTTTGTCCTGCCGATAAATATAATGACGATGGCATAGTAAAGAGATATCGTCCTCTGAATGATACTCAGAATACGTGGGAGAACCCAGTGATTGGATACTTAGTACAGTACTTAGTACTTTGTGTACTAAGTCCTCAAAAATTTAGAATACTCAGTACATTTCTGTAGTACAAGTAAAATTACTTAAGTATATTGTACTTAAGTACCATGGTACTTTGTACAGGTACTAGAGTACATCTGTACTAGTACTGTACTAAGTATAATATGCTTAAAGAAATCTTTTCTCTTTCAAATTAATGTTATTGGTTTTCCCATTTGTGCTTTATCAGGTCAAAAATATACTTCTGTATGCTTTTTACTTATTGGACATCGTTTAAATATTCAAATATTGCTTACAAAGTTTAAAACGTTCGTTATAAATGAAGATAAAAATCAAAATCTCATGAATTCATTTTTAGCGTAACATTTGTTCCTAAACTGATATTACTATATTGTCAGGATATTTTCTCCTCAAAAGCCTTTCATTAAATTCGCTTTTATACAAGGTTGTGATAGCCTGCGATGACAAATAAAGTAAGATGCTTTAATAAAAAACTAAAATATTTATTAATTAAAAAATGAAGTTTATCTTGAAGGTGTGAGTGCGGATATATTATATTTATCTCACACTTGCAAACACTACACGCACATCCACATCTATATTCACATCTTCAAGCGGCTCTGTTATGCCACTTCTCGATAAAAGTCTTATTTGTCTAACTCATTATTATCAATCGTAAAATAGAAATCTCATTAATTTTATGCTGATAAATATGAAAATGGGATGATGTTACTGTTATGCCTCTTTTATTTTCGCTACTACACATGTCATTATGTTACAGATTACGAAATATTGATGTATGAATACTAATCAAAGCTAAACATAAGATTATATTAAGTAAATTGTACTAAGTACAGTACTAGTACAAATGTACTCTAGTACCTTGTACTAAGTACACATATACCTAAGTACAATGTACTTAGGTACAAATGCTCAGTACATCTATTAAGTAAAAAGTAATTGTACTTGTACTTACTGTACTTGTTCGTGTACTTGTTCGTGTTCTTGTGCACTCCATAGTCGGAGAGTCGACATCTTAATTATAGAAAACTAAGAAAGAAAAAATACGATTATATATATCGTATAAGCTATGAAGTTACGATGATCTAGAATAAAAAAAAACAGCACTTTAAATGATATTTGTTCTACTTTTCTCTCAACTACTGTCTAATTCTGATATCGACCAAAGAACAACTTAAAGTAATCTGATAAAAATAGTAAGCTGTATAATCATCAACGACCTGTAAGGAAGAATAAGGTTATCGTCAGATGATAGTTACAAAGTGACTATGTAGTGAATAAGCAAGTTATTAGGATAATATGAATGATCAAATAGAAGACATATATAGTGATGTGCCGATATCATTCCATCCACTTTTCTTGATTCTTCTTCTTCTGTCGTTTATATCTTTCTTTCATCTGTTTGTTCTCTTCGTTCTTTTTCTTTTGGTTGCATATATAACTGTCTGTTTTCTATGTAAAGAGTGCGATCTTTGTGCAGAAAAAATAGAGGAAAGAGTAATCCCATCAGTGCTAACACTCCTTCCATCAAAAATCGTCACAACTAAAGGCTACATTGAGGACATAATTAAGAAGTTCTTGAAAGTACCTTTGATAGTAAAAAAATAAGAAGAGAACATAAAGAGAGAAAACGTAAAGTAAGGAAAAGAAAAATAATAAGAAGAGATAAGATAAATATCGGAAACAATAAATGGGAAAAGACAAAAAACATGCGAAACTAATCAGTAAATAATAAAAAAGGACTTGAGGCATACCAAAAGTTCGTAGAGTGATATTATAATACGTTATGATGGGCTTTAAGTAATTTGCTTTCCATATAATCTGATAGAGAAAATAAAGCTACGTTTTTTCTATACTATTTGATCGTACTTCAACTAATATCATAATAACAAAAATCTGATGAGATCTATCTTTTTCTTGTGAGTCATCGTTCTATGAATGGTAGTGAATATTTCTTGAGTGACTTTTAATAGAACCAAAATAGAGAACTGCAGTTTTCACTGTTGGAAAGAGAAAACGCAGACATCGAATCATACGTTGTAATCTTTTTTAGTATTGATTTTTTATGTATTTTTTTTTCAATTTTTTAACTGGTGGAAAAATATGTTTTTTTTTATGAAAGAAGGAAAAAGACAAAAGGTGATCTTTTTCTATAGGTTTCGCTGGAAAACCTTAATAGAGATTCAAGTAAAATGCATATGATTCATCAGTCTTCTGCAGTTTGTAAATCTTCGATTATAGTTGTTCGAATTTATACTTGATAATTGAAAAGCTAATGTAAATAACCTATCAAATATGTTTGTGCTTAAAAGTATCAATTTAAAGCTTTAAACAAACTAAAATAGGAAATCATAGAATATACGGTTCGATGTGTCTTTATCTTCTCTTTCCAACGGTGGAAACTGCAGTTCTCTATCTTGTTCCTCCACAAAGTTATTCAAAACAATACTTATTAAAAATTTTTCAAAACTAGTATCAATACAACCAGCATATATCATGATAAAATACACTTTATCATGAATTTATTATTATGATATTAGTAGAAGTACGATCAAATAGCATAGAAAGATAGAGCTTTTTTTCTCTATCAGACTATATAGAAAGAAAATTACTTAAAGGTTATCATAAGGTATTATAATATCACTCTACGAACCTTTGGTAAACCCTAAGTAGTAACGAGGAATTCAATGCCGCACGATAGGCGAATGTTGTCATGAATGAAAACATCAAAAACAAAGATAACTATTTAGGATCATAACAAAGAATAGAAGTGTAGTTTTGAAAACAAAGCAAAGAACGAACAGACTATTTAATTCGATACAAATCAATTTGCGGTAGAATGAGAAAAATAGAAAAAAATTTATTATTGGTTCAGTACATATTCATTGTCGCTTTCTCAAACTGTTCGAAATTACATAGAATTTAGTGATTATTAATGTTTGCTTTAACTTACTACGAAATGAGATGTTGTAAAATTGATAGTTTATTGGTTACCGTCTTCACAGCTCTTCTTTATATTAGAAGAAAAAAAACAATAAATGGTTAATGCGTCGCAGAATATTGTGTTGTATTCTATACCAATCGTCAATTGATCGCATTTCAATAGAATTCCTAGCTTATATACATGGCATCGTCATATTTACTTAATATTTCTTTTCTCTTTTTTCCGTTGGTTTCTTGGAAGCATCAGTTAATACTCTGAAGTAAGTCATTTCTGTTCTCTTTCTTCTACTGAGTTTCTTTCATCGGAAATCAATATTTTTCTTTGCTCCATACTATTCAAACACATCATATATTTTCTTTGCTGTTTTCTATTATCCTTCTGTTTTCTTTCGCTCGTTCTTCTATCTATGTATATATGTATGCATACATATATATACGATTCTTTTTTTTCTTCCGATAAACACAACATTTAATAAAATAAAATAATTATAATCACCTAAATATATATGACAATTTAGTTAATATCATATTTTATTAACGACTTATTTATTCAATAGAACAAATGACTTCAACATTATTTTCACAGCATCATAAAGGAACGCATCGTGATTACCAAGAATCTACTGATTCATCATATTAACTAATTTTTACTTACATTTGAAAAATAATTGAATAGAACACAAACCTTTCATTATCATCTATACTTTGTAAATTATCACATTAAAGATGAATGAGCATTTTAATATTCTTAAAGCCTGTTATGTTAATTAAGACATGCCGATTCATCATTTTCTACAACTTTATTGTTTATAATAGTATCGATAATTTCGCAAACAGATCATATAATTTTTATTTGGTTCATATCTTAGTAATACAACAAAAAAAAAGAAACAAGCATACATAAGCATAGACAGTTGATGAATATTTTTTTCTATACATAAATTAAATTAAACAAAGGAACTCTCAATAGCATGTTTGTTTGTCCTCTTCATCTTTTTTTTACAAAACACTCACCAAGAAAAAAAACAATTGTGACTAGGACAAGTTTTACTTCATATGTTTAAAAACGAAAAACATTGTACAACAAAACAAAACAAAAGAGATTTTATTCTAATGAACGTTTAGGTGTGGACATACAAAAAACAGGGTGTGGATGTGGGTGGTCATGAATGTCTTACTTTGTAGCACAATCACATGCACCTATCTAGATCCACACCCTACACCAACACCCACCCTTATATGATTATTTCATAGACTACTATGACGAAGACAATAACATTGATCACAATGAATTCGGTGACAACGAAGATATTTCCACTGACTATTTTGAAAATTATGATGAAGAGAACACAATTTAACTGTTACAAAACGAAATAATAAAATAAATTCTTTACTAATCTATTCCTTAAATATGTACATAATTTAGTGTAGACTTTCGTCTTGATGAATTGAATATTTAATTACAAAATGAAGTAGTTTTTCCCTTGAAAACAACACTTTCTGTGCTCTAATTATGAGTTGTTATAAGAAGAAAATTTTCTCTTTTAGAATATCGATTATTTTGATTGTACTTTTTTTCAATCAAGTAGTTCAAACTAACTACAATATATTATTTCTAAATGAACACTTGTTTTCTATTATAACAAATATATAAAAACAAAAACATCATGTTCACACATCAATTCAAATCTATTGACGACGATTTTCGTTTTTGTTTATTTAATGATTGCAGTCGTTTGCGAATAACACGTTCTGATGATGCCGATTGTTTTCTAAAAGAAAAGAATATAAATTTACCGTTGTTCAATTGTTTTTCTCTCTTCTTCACTCAATCCTTTTGGAATAATACTTGCATCACGTATTAATGCTCGAATTCGATCTAAACATTGTGCTTGATTTAATAATCGATGACGAGTTTCATCAGAAAATATTATAAAATAACCATCTCGATTAATACGTGATTGATACTAAAATACATAAATTTAGTTTTTTTTTAATAGAAAAACCATTATTTATAATTCAAACCATATCACGAAAACGTGGCTTTATCCAATCTGGTATCCATGTTGCTGAATCAATATGAAAACGAATTTCAACACCACTTAATGCTAATAAAAGAACAATTATTAAGAAAATAAAAATCTTTCTCACTTTTATTTACATGCTGACCACCTGGACCTCGAGCATGTCGATGTGTAATATCTAGTTTATCTGGAAAAAAATAGTATACATATCAATTATAAAATATAAATACTAATTATTGAATTATACCTGTCGGAATAAATCCATTGAATTTATCTTTACCTGTTGATTCATTCGTAGGCTAAAATTATTGATTAAATCAAACTATAGTTTCAAAATTCGATTAACTTACTGCTGTAATAGGTCCAGATAAAATATCAAGTGATTTAGAATTTGGAAATAATTTATCATAGGATAAATTGGATTTATATGTTCGACTGTTTATTAACAAATGTCGAGTTGATAAACAAATAGATTGACGAAAAACAAAATTAGAAATTATATTCATCTAGAGAGAAGATAATTTAAAAAGTATTATTGTTATTTTATTTTATGTACTATAAGTTAACATGATTAACGGAAATTTATACAACAAAAAAAAAATAATAACTAACATAAAATGAACGAATTTATACAAATTTCATTGCTGTTTTATATCAACTGACTGTTCAAAAAAACTGATCTTACAACAAAGGATGGAAGTTAAAAAAAATATATAAATAATTCATTCTGATATTAAATTTTAATTTGTTTTGTTTGATTTATTGGAATAATTTCTTCATCATTCAATTTCTTTTCTTTTTCATTATTAACTGATTGAAATTTCGCCCATTTCCGTGGTACAGCTGAACCAAAAAATAAAAAGACAATACCACCAATAAAATAAACAATACCAAACATAATAAATAATTTTCTCCATTGTTCCAATACGGGTTTAGTAACAATCATACCAGCAATAATATTTCCAATAACACCAGCTATGGATGCAAATGAATTACCGAGACCAAAAATAACACCTGAATAAGCAGGAACAATATCGGCAAAATTAACAACATAACCACTCCCATAACCAAGTCCTGAAGTAATAAAAACAATGTCAACTTTTATTATTTTTTTTCTTAGATTTACCTGAACTAGCAAGAAAAACAAGTATAGTAATAATTCCTAAAACTTTGTTTGAATCATCACAAAAACATAATGATATCATACATAGAACAGGTATAAATGATGTTAATGAATTAAACATTTTTCTTGCAGTTGTTAATGTCATAACATTACTTCGAACAAGATAATCAGCAATAATACCTGATGATAGACTAGTTAAGAGTGTAAGAAAAAATCCACAAGCTAATATATAACCAGTATATTGTGTTGGTACACGATGAATTTCAGTTAAAATTTTACCAAGGTTTGTTAAAAAGAAAAATAAACCAAATAAATTTGCAATATGTGTTATAAATAATGCAATTAATGGTTTTGATGTAAATATATTTTTCCATGGTATTGATGCTAATGTCATTGAACGTTTTTTACCAGTACTACCGGTTAAATTACATATATAGTCACGTTCATGATCACTAATGGTTTTATGACTGTTTGGAGAATCCGATGTTAATGATATCCATAATATTAACCAAATAAAACCCAAAATACCTGTTAGACAAAATATATACATCCAACCTGAATATAAATGACGACAGAAAAGTCCACCAAGAAGCATTGTTACTGATGTTCCAAGATGAGTACCACAAAATCCAATCGATGCAAGAGTACTTCGTTCTTGTGGTACAGCCCATAGTGACCAAAGTGCTATTGTAGCTGGAAAAAGAACACCATGAGCAAGACCAACAATAAAACGAAGAAGAAACATTGAAATAAAATGTGTATTTGACATTGTATACATCATTGTTGATGCAAAACTAGCAATTGAACTAGTAAATAGTGAACCAGCAAAAACCCATTTTGCACCTATAGTTGTTGCTAACCATCCACCCGGTACTTGTGTAAATATATAACCAGCCCAATAACCACCTAAGAGAATTTGTTGTTGTAATTCCATCCAATTGAATTGTTTTTCTTGAAGAAATCCTCTTTTTTGTAAAGCTGTTACAAGAGGTTTTATTGTTGTTGTTGCTGTTGTGCTGTTGAATGATAATTGATATTCATGAGATTTTGTACGATTAACCATGCATACAATTGCAATTGGTAAATTAACACGTTGAGAATATTGAACAATAAAAGCAAAAAAGACGAGTAAAGCCAATGTAAAACGTTTTGATGGTATCAAAGGTGGTGGTGCTTCACCATCAAGAGTCCGCGCAAACTCATATTCCAGTTCGTCTTCTTCTATATTCGTGGTCGTATTTGATCTCATTAGATTGTATCTGTAAAAGAACAAAGAAGTGAGATTAATTCTAAAGTACTTTAAAAAAGGAAGGGTGGGTGTGGGTATGAGTGTGTGTTTTATAATCTTTTCTCCAACTATATCATCTTTAACGCTCACACTCACGCTCTATCAATAATGATCATCATGTCGATCGACAGTTAGTATTGGAGAGCAAGTGTCACGGGAGCATCGTTCACGTTTTCATGAATATCTCATCGTGTATATTCTAAGAAACAAAAAAGACGAATGAATATGAAATCGAAAAAACAACAACAAGAGAACACACGAATATGAATGCAAAAGCAATAAGGAGCGAAGCATACCATAAGCACATAATACACGCGTAAAGCTATATCATAAAAGATGAAACGAAGAAAGAATGTGTATATGATATAGAACGAAGAAGAGTACGAGATGAAATGTATAAAACATCCAAAATATATAAAAGATGGAGTAGAATGTATACGTGCGAGAAAGAGGGAAAACTGAGAGGAATATGAGTACAAACAGATGCATGAAAGAGTAAAGAGAGTATGCCATGTCCACCAGACATGACACTATCGACCAACATGTAGAAAAAGATAATATTCTCGAATGATTTAATATAAGAGTATATTAATATAAGAGATTTGTCTGTACGGTATGAATATCATATACCCAAGAGTGTTGTTTTCTTTTCAGTCAGTGTGAACATAGTAGGTATTTGCAAATCATAATATTATATAAGAAGAGTAGTCAATACTGATCAACTGAGCATCCAGAATCTTCTACTACCATTCATTGATCAACAATCAACTGATAATCTCGAAATCGGATTTTATTTAATTGAAATTTTAATCAATTTCTTGAATTTCATTCGATTAGGAGATTTTAGTTTCATTAACTACGAAATAATCAGTTACACTTGATGATAAATCCGAAATCGAATTTTATTTGATTAGAATTTTAACTGATTTTTTGATTTTTAATCGACTATGAGATTTTTATCCGGTTTATTGAAAAATAATTAATTATAATCGATTGATAATCACGAAATTAGATTTGATCTGATTGACATTTCAATCGATTGAGTTGCTTATAATCAGTTTTGGTAATTTTACCAAATTTAGTAACAAAAAATCGATTAAAATCAGCGAAAACGATTATCTTATGTGAAAAAGATGGTAAAATATTTATTTGATACTCAACTATTCAAAGAAATTATTATTTGGAATAGTAATCCACATATGAATCTTACTCTTTATCAAATAAACATTGATTTAAATATGATAAAATTCATTCGTATTATTAATTCAAAAGAAAATATTAAGCATAAAATCAAATATCTTGCTTGTTCAGAAGCAAACACAAGTGCATGTTTCTTTATTGATGATAGATGGTATAGACCCTATTACATAAAAAGTCTTTTTGCAAGTTTTATCAAAGTAAAAATAAAGTGATAAGTTGTATGATTGAATCATACGGTTCTTCTTTTTAGATTTATTACATTTAATTGATGATCTTTTTCTAATTTGGTTCAATGATATTCCGATTCAATTAAATATAGATAGTCAGCATCATTCTTCGAATCTCCTGTACAATGAATCAGTTGTTGCCATTCGTAAACTTCAATACTCTTTACATCGTGATCGATTCACTTTTAATAACACAGTATTTATTCGTAAACAAAAGCATAATTCATCCATCTATGTTAAATCTCCGAGTTTTAACGATAGATTTATATTCTTTAGTAATGTTTTACCAATATATGATGATCATAAAGTACATGACATTTCATTTCATAATACGTGGAAAGCAGTTGATGGTAATCTTTCAACATGTTGGCAAACAAATCGAACTATTTATTCTGGTGACTTTTTTATCATTGACTTTTTACATGCTCAAACAAATATAACATTCGTACTTATTGTTTCACACAACCGTATAATGCAAGCAAATTTGGAGATAAATATTTCATTTAATGGAATTTGGTGGATTCCATATGAATCACTCAGAGGTATTTTCATAAAAGCAAATGAAAATTCTAGAAATATCTACCTCTTCAATTCGGCTCAGTTTAATGAAGGTTTTAAATCGCTTCGTTATATTAAATTCAAAGCAACTAACAATCATTCTAATCAATCCTTTCAAGTATGTGACATTCAAATGATTTCAAAAGAAAAGACTCTAACGAATCTTCAATAATTAGATGTGTAAATTGTATTTTCTAACAATAGAATATAATTTGTGATAATTAATTATTTCTATATACTTTAAAGATTTTTATTTTCTTATTAATATATATATTTAAACGAGGAAGTTTAAAGATTTTTTATTCCATCTTATAAAACATTTGTATTTGATTTTACGATCAAATATTAACATAGACTTTGAAAAAAAATGTCATTACACCTTTGTTGATTACAACAAAAACACAATATTCATGTCTATTATATAGCATTACATATCAATAAAATAATCTTAACAAAAACGTGGTGTATAGTTGCTGTGTTGATTCTGACATTTTGCAGTTGACGTCATTTTTTTCGGTTTTTTTCCTTTCAATAAGTAATTGCAACATCATGTGAAATACATGATGCATGACGATATATATTCATTCAAGGAAGAAGAAGAAAAAATACAAACACATCATATCGCCAACATACAACATTACACAACACGTATTTCATCAGGAGTCTATAATGACAAATCAAACTGTTGCGAACTTCCATATGTTACCGGTAGAAATTGTCTACCGAATTCTAGATCATCAATCAGATTTAACAATGCTATGTTCAATGACCAATGTATGTCAACGATTTAACATGATCTTAGACACCTATCATCGCTATCAGGTAAACTTTTTTCTATCATGACAGCCTAGTTTTTGTCTATGCACCCATAAATTACTTTCATTCCTACAATCTCTATACAAGCAGAATCATTTCGCTAAAATGTAGGCGAATAAACTATTTGTTACTTAAACTAATTTATCACCTATTAATCTCTTTCGAAAACAATCTCCTGATAATTAGAAAAGAAATAGTTTCTTTCTTATCGCTTTTTTCTTCAAGAACGAAATTTCAACAGTGATTCATTAACAAAATAAAACATCGAGTACACTTCGTAAGAGATATTCATAATCCCATGTTTTAGCATGTATTCGCCTTTCACTTATTATGAATCTAACACTATCGAATAAGTCTTTTAGCTTCTTCGTTTTTATCAATCAATATTGTTGTATACACCTAACCTTGTGGTGCCATCGAAAGCACCTAATGGAATCAATGACTATTCTTAGCAAAACAAACCATACCCATTAGTTTGACCAAATCAGATAACTCAAATGAGGTTTCCATGCAAAACACATTAGCAGTCTCATCCACAGTGTTATGATCAAATTATATTTTTCCAATACCTACTCAATACTAACAGGTGATGTAAGACGTAAAACTGTTTTGAGCAGCAGCAATTGACAAACTATTATTTCTAAAACCAGAACCTTCCCTTTTCTTCACAAAAATATTCAAAAATCAAAGCAAATGATACATAAAAACTTTTTGCTCATTCGCAACCCTTTCTAACTTCTTTTTAACCAAGTTCTTTATACAAAACACTCTTGAGCTTTGCACAAAATCTATATCCAAAGAAGTATTCAGACTCAAATCTATCTGCTCTTCAATAAAGCCCTACTAATATTTATTTTATTGATCTGAATCCACATAATAATGCCCAACTATTCTTCTGATTCATCTATACCATGTTTTTACTTATACTTTTTCATGTAGACACTCACCACGCTAGATCTCGTACGCAAAGAAATCGGAGATGTTGCAGTACAACATTTGGCTGATGCATTACGAAACAACACAGTAACTTTCTTTCTTTCTATATCTATATCATGTTTTTATATACACTTCTCCATGTAGACTGTCACCACATTATATCTCGGAGAAAATTCGATCGGAAATGGTGGAGTACAACATTTGGTTGATGCATTACGACACAACACAGTAACTGTCTTTCTCCGTTTATCTATCTCATGTCTTTGTCTACACTTATTCATCTAGACACTCACCACACTACATCTCAAATACGATGAAATCGCAGATGTTAGAGCACAATATGTGGCCGACATATTACGACACAACACAGTAACTATATTTTTCTCTTCATCTAAACCAGCTTTTTATATACACTTTTCCACCTAGACACTTACCACACTGAATCTCCACGACAATGGAATCGGAGATGTTGGAGCACAACATTTAGCAGCTGGACTGCGACACAACACAGTAACTGTCTTTCTCTCTTTATCTATCCCATGTTTTTACTTACACTTATTCAACTAGACGCTCACTACATTAAATATCTCGAACAATGGAATTGAAAATGTTGGAGCACAGTCTTTAGCTCATGGATTACGACACAACACAGTATCTGTCTTTCTCTCTTTATCTATATCATCTCTTTACTTACACTTTTTCACCTAGATACTCACTACACTGAATCTCTGTGAGAATAGAATCGAAGATGTTGGAGCACAACATTTGGCTATCGGACTGCGTCATAACACAGTATCTGTCCTTCGCTCTGTATCTATATCATGTTTTTACTTACACTTTTTCGTTTAGGCACTCACCACATTGGATCTTCGTCAGAATAGAATCGCAGATATTGGCGCACAACACTTGGCAGCTGGTCTGCGACACAACACAGTAACTGTCTTTCCCTCTTTATCTATCTCATGTTTTTACTTACACTTTTTCCTTTAGACGCTCACCATCCTGGACCTCCGTAGGAACCGCATCGGAGATGCTGGAGTGAAACGTTTGGCTCATGGATTACAACACAACAGAGTAGCTGCCTTTCTCTCTTTATTTATATCATATCTTTATCTACACTTTTTTATCTAGAAACTCACCACACTGGATCTCGAGCACAATCTAATCGGACATGTTGGAGCACGACATTTAGCTGATGCATTACAACACAACACAGTAACTGTCTTTCTCCCTTTATCTATCTCATGTTTTTACTTGAACTTTTTCATTCAGGCACTCATCACACTAAATCTCTCGAGGAATTTCATCGGATATGCTGGAGCACAACATATGGCTGTTGGACTGCGACACAACAAAGTGATTGTCTTTCTCTCTTTATCTATATCATGTTTTTACTTGTACTTTTTCATCTAGACACTCACCGCATTAAACATCTGGGGCAATGAAATCGGAGATGTTGGCGCACAACATTTGGCTGATGCATTACAACACAATACAGTAACTGTTTTTCTCTCTTTATCTATCCCATGTTTTTCCTTGCATTTTTTGATTCAGGCACTCATCACACTGGATCTCGATTCCAACAGCATCACAGATGTTGGAGCACAACATTTGGCTGATGGATTACAACACAACAGAGTACGTGCTTTTCTCTCTCTATCTATCGCATGTTTTTACTTACACTTTTTCATCTAGACGCTTACCACATTAGATCTCCGTGAAAACAGAATTGGAGATGTTGGAACACAACATTTGGCTGTTGGACTACGATACAACACAGTAAGTGTGTTTCTCTATTTATCTACCTCATGTTTTAACTTATACTTTTTCATCTAGACGCTCACCACATTAAATCTCTCGTACAATAGAATTGGAAATGTTGGAGCACAGTCTTTGGCTCATGGATTACGATACAACACAGTAACTGTCTTTGTCTATTTGATGTCTTTACTTACACTTCTTCATATAGATACTCACCACATTAGTTCTTGCGCGCAATGGAATCGAAGATGTTGGCGCACAACATTTGGCTGATGCATTACGACACAAGACAGTAGCTGTCGTTCTCTCTTTATCTATATCATCTCTTTACTTACACTTTTTCATTTAGGCACTCACCACACTAGATCTCGAATACAATGTAATCGAAGCTGTTGGAGCTCAACATCTGGTTGATGGTTTACGACACAACAGAGTAACTGTGTTTTCTTACGTCATGTATTTATTTAAGCTTTTTTATTTAGACACTCACCACACTATCTCTCGGTGGTAATAGAATCGGAGAAGTTGGAGCTCAACATTTGGCTGATGGATTACAACACAACACAGTAACTGTTTTTCTCTCTTTATCTATATCATGTTTTTACCTACACTTTTTCATCTAGACACTCACCACACTAGACCTAGGTGGTTGTGAAATCCGAGATGTTGGAGCACAACACTTGGCAGTTAGATTGCGACACAACACAGTAACTGTTTTTCTCTCTTTATCTAACTCATATTTTTAGTCACACTTTTTCATGTAGACACTAAACATACTAAATCTACGATATAATATAATTGGAGATATTGGAGTACAACATATAGCTAATGCATTACGACACAATACAGTAAATGTCTTTCTCTCTTTGTCTATATCATGTTTTTACTTACACTTTTTCATCTAGACGCTCACTGCATTGGATCTCCATGGTAATGGAATCGGAGATGTTGCAGCAGAACATCTAGCTGATGGACTGCGACATAACACAGTAAGTGTCTTTCCCTATTTATCTGTCTCATGTTTTTAATTACACTTTTTCATTTAGGCACTCACTACACTAGATCTCGGTGACAATACAATCGGAGATGTTGGAGCTCAACATTTGGCTGATGGATTACGGCACAACACAGTAACTGTGTTTACTTATACCATGTGTTTATTTAAGCTTTTCTATTTAGACGCTTACCACACTACATCTCGGTGACAATGGAGTCGGAGACGTTGGAGCGCAACATTTGGCTTATGCATTATTACACAGCACAGTAACTGTCTTTATCTATGTCATGTCTTTACTTATACTTATTCATCTAGACACTGACCTCACTATATCTCGAATATAATCAAATCAGAAATGTTGGAGCACAACATTTGGCTGATGCATTACTACGCTGCACAGTAACTATCTTTCTCTCTTTATCTATATCATGTTTTTACTTACACTTTTTCATTTAGACGCTCATAACGCTGAATCTGAACGGCAATAGAATCTGAGCTGAAATTAATTAAATATTCTATAAATTTATGAAACGCAACAGAAGCGAAAGACAGTGATGATCGTGACTTAAACTATTACGTATATTTTGATAACGAACAGATATTGGATGATGATGGTAATGTCGCGTATTTTTTTATTGTACTACAATATTCGGAAATAAATGAATAAAAGTACTGATTTGCAAAGTTTGTGTGTATTCTAATGAGAAATTTCACTTGGATTTTGCGGTATGTGGTGAGGTGCTGTTGTCGTAAAAAAAATAAATATGGTTTTTTGGCAAATATTTTGTCACTCTGTAGTTTGCGCAAAACTAGGCTGGTTGTGTGTG